TTTATTGCTTTAAAAATCCAATATCCCCTATAATTGGCACCCAATCAACAGCAATGTAACAGCAAAGACAGCATCACTAGGAAAATACTTTCTGGCCATTACAGTTATAGAAATCAACAGGTTAGCTACTGAATTGTGCTTTGGATAAAGGAAAGCCCAGGCAATGGGTTCTGGAAGAATACTAACCATCTGCCTGTGTTAGAAGCTCTAATGAAGTTGAAGACATGGCCCATGACCCACCTCTCAAAGGGTAGCTTTTACTGTGGCCCAACTTTCAAAGAATGCCAGGATGTAGCATGGCTAGTGGGACATGGTTAGGCCTGATATACATGAGTCTGTGCTATCAGCTAGAATAGAGTGAGTCAGACTTAAAATGATCATAGAAGCTATTCAAACAAGCAGTCCCACTCCAAAGGAGTGTATCTCTTCCCCAAAAGCAACAGCTTCTCTTCTGGTAGACTGCTTCACTGCTTCTTTATCACTCAGCTACCTCCTTTCTGTCTTTGGTATGCCACAGACTGCTGGAAGCAAAGAGAGCCTCCCTACTCCCTCACATTTGATCATTCGAATTACCTTCCCCAACCTATAAAACAAAATCCTTTCTTTGGAAACCTGGGGAGTTTTGTGGGATCAGAATTCCTTCTCTATTTCTGTCATGCACACACAGACACATAAAATGTTCTTACATCATTAAGATGCAAAACACATTGTTCCTGAGCCAGTGTTTTCTAAAGCAGTGTTTCCAAAGCCAGCATTTCCTGAAGCTAGGGCTTCCTGTGGGCTGCCTAGGTAAAAAAGGGTATATGGAGCTGATTTCTGCAAAGCCTGATGTTCCAGTCAGTCAATTGTGTGACAACTATTGCTACATATTCCTGGCTTAGAAGCCTTCACTGCGCCATTCCCTTGCTGCAGCCTCTGCACCAGTTACCTCTCTCAAACCAGAACGTGTTTCCCTCCTTCCCTCCTTGCAAACTGTAACTAACTCCAAGAGTTTTGGAAGTGCCACAAGTCTCAAGTTCTAGAACCAGCGTCATCAGTCATGTCCCCTGAAATACCTAGCACTGTATTTCTCCTATGTAAGGTATTTAATGGTCTATTAACGCACTGAATAGGCAGTAAATCACATATATGTGTGTGTATGTCAGAATGCTAGGGGAAATTGGGCAAGGTGGATAAAGAACAAAAGAGGAAGGAGGTAGGAGAATGACTGGAATTATGAGAAACCTGGGTCTGGTTCTTGTACAGGCTTCCTTGTGCATGCAGCTGCCATATTCCCTTACTCCTCACCGGGGAGCACACCTCAGTGAGGAGTTGCAAAGACAAACACACTGGAGGACTGCATGAAGTCGCACACCTACAGCAGTAAGACATGTAAACAGAGCAGGGAGGAAGGAACAGTATCTGTTCCTGTAAAATAGCATAAAGTATAAGCACTGAACAGGGTGAGGCAGCTGGGGCAGGGAAACAGACCAGACAGGAATGGGGAGATTCCTACCAGGAATGAGATTCCTGGTTCATGCAGGACTCTTGCCTGTTATTGTTTCCTTCTTTCCCAATGTGTGTATGAAGCAGCAAGAGAGGGGAAATGGAATGTAATTCAGAACGCAGTGCTAAACCTGGGCTCACCAAATCTGCCTTTGATAAGCCTCTGAACTTTCTAGGGCTTCACTTCCTCGGCCATGGATGGTATTTACTAGTGGCTTAGTGTTACTTTCACGCGTCAGACAGCAGGGCAAGACACCTTCTCCTCCAACCATACGGTGCTTGTAAGATGTCACTAATGTAGCAGGCACATTTACTACTATTTCTTTCATTTCTTTGCCAACACTTTCAGGCCAATATTTACTTCCTTTTGGCTCATCCTCAGTAATGTTTTTCTTTACTTCTCAAGCCATTTATTTTACTTCTATTTCCTGTTAAGGAGGAAATCCTAACTAATCCCCTCCTGGGAGTCTACTGCTTTGAAAATCACTCATTTGCAGCATGCTAACAGTAACTGAATGGCAAAGTTTACTCCTTGAAATTTGCCACTCAAATGGAAAGCAAAGATTTCAAACATCACTATGGCAAACAGATAACATATAAAACGATGAGGAGATATATGTGATATATACAATGATGCTGGAGTAGGTTTCTGGAAGCAAATTCAAGGAAGGCCTTTTTCAATCATTGCACAAGCTTTTTTGCTTTCCTCATCCAGTACAAGCTAATGATTGGGAAACACTCATACCAAGGGAGACACCTAAAGCCAGACAATCATTAAGCATGACACTGGGCGTGCCTTCATTAGAGTGCTAAGGTGTGTGAGAGCGCCATTTAGAGAGAGATATAAGATAGCAGTTTATTTGTAAAACAGCGGAGCCCTCGCCACACTCCTTGTCTAAGTCTTCCAACAGGGATGGTCAGGTGAGTGCTCAGGCTCCAAACGCAGCCTTCTCCATCCCCTTCTCACCATCACACCATGCTGCAAAGCCAGCCTTTTACTAGTCACTACTCTCTACTAATGACCACATCAAGATCCAGAATTAGGATACTTCAAGACAGACAGTAAGTTCCCAGTCAGAATACGTATGACAGACAGACAACTTTTAAAATATGGGCTCTTTTGATCTGGGCTCTTGGTTTTGTGGTAAATTCTTTAGGATGCTACATGCCAGCTGTTCTACAAAATGTTCACATAAGTGAGACGTGCGGCTTCATAGAGAACAGCTTGAGAACATAGTAAACACCAAGAAAAGGCAGCTACCCCTGCCTACATTTTTTTGTTGTTGTTATACTTGTATAGCAACAAATCACACTTTAAAAACCACTCCACACACACTTTAAGCTGATAAAACAGCTTTCCACGTTAATACATTGCAAACTCCACTCCAACACCAGTTAAGCTTTAGGAGGAAGCTACTACATTTCAGCATGCATGTGTTTGTTTTGTTTGGTATGAATCTGGGACCAACAGTATTTGCATGAACATTCACAACTCTCTCTGCAGTTTAGGAGGATAGACACAAGCAGTGTTAGTTACAAAACTTAGCACACAAGCCTAATCCATACAACTTGTTCAATGGAGACTAAGACCGCCGTAAAACTAGCTTAATAAGGAATGTTGCAACTACCTATTTGTTTTCTATGTTGAGGCAATTAGGATAAACAATTAAACCTTACCTTAATTCCTTTAGTAATTCCATTTTTCTTATAGATTCCACTTTTTAAGAGGTTATTCTGTTTCTGATGATGATGATGATGTAGGTGTCCATTGCAGACAGCACTGGGATTAGCCATCTGTTTAAATTAGTCAGATTCTCCGTTCTTAAGGATGTCTCAGGTCTTTCTACTGTAAAAAAGACAGTGGGATGAGAAGATAAAGTTCTTGGTTAAGGCCTGAGAGGTATCCAACTGGTCTGTCAGGATTTTCCGGGATGAGAGGAGGAACTATCTTTTGCAATATCTTCGAAACGTAAAACTTTCTTTCATATACCTTCAGCCCCAGCCAGCTAGAATGAGAAATACATGGCAGAAGGTGTGCTCTTAAAATCACTGAAAAATACGGCTCATTGCTGGCTATTGCATGAACACAGCTTCTGTGAGTCAACAAGACTGCTGCAGCTATCAAGAAGTGGGTGGATTCAGAGGCGGAGACACTTAAAGATACATTACCTCTTAAATACCTCCCAGTGTGAAACATTCTCGGTGAGAAAGTTCCATTTCTCCAGATTACTACTCCATTTAAACGAACCCAATGTTTTGAAAATTGAAACAGAGTAATCTTTAAAGTCACATGGTCCTCTTGCTAAGGGCATATTAACTGAAAAAAGTAGTTTTTCACTGAGTAGAACATTTTTATTTCCTTTCTTTTAATTTATTCTTACATAGGTAGCATGACAGACACAACATTAACCCTGCAAAGAAATGGAAAGCATTTTAGCACTAAAATGAAAATTTATCTAGAGCTAGAAACAACATATTTGGTCCTATCCTGCATACATGCACACAGATACTTACTAGAGTGAACTGTCCCTTTAAATTCAATTTGGCCTGTAGTGGGATAGATGACATGGTATTACAATTAATGAGAAATGGAGTTTTATAAAGTTTATTAATTTAGTTTTAAAACAAGTCAGGCTTTAAACACACATGAAACTACTAAGGAGGACTAACATACATCCTTTTCATTGTGGAAATACATATACTGTCTTTGCTGAGTCAAATTCTCATATTTCATATTTTAGTGGCAAAGCATAAAAGTAGAAACATTTCTGGTAGCATTTAATAGACTCTCTTCCTCTAAAAATAATTTAAATTACTGTGGAGACAGATTAAAGGAAAGCTGTATAATGATATCAATTTTGAAAATCAGTTAGGATGAAAGGCTGGGAGAATAAAAATATTTGAATTGCTTTAATTAGAAAAAAATTACTATCCCATCTTGGCATTGAAATGCAAGTGACATACAGAAAGAGCAGCCTACAACTTGATTAGGTGCAGTGCAGAAGAATAAGTGTTAAATGAACCACCATGAAAATATGCAGGGAAACACACTGGATTGGTTTTGAAAATTTGTCTTAGACATGTATTAAATTGCTAAAATGTATTTTCTTCTTGGAAGTGGTTTGCAAAGGGAGGTGTATTCAATGCCTTGGAAAACATTCAGACCCTGCTTAAGAGAGATCTAAACTGATCTGTGTTTAAAAGAAATGTATGTACATCTTTCCTTCTCCATTTCACCTCATTTCATACCACCCAGTGGTCTTCCACTGAGAACTATAGAAACCCTCCAGAATACACTATAGAGTAGCACAACTTAAAAGGCAGTCTACCCCTAACTAGATTTGGTTTTTCATATCATTGGAAAGAAGTCTTTTACTTGCATATTTCAATTAATAAGATGGTAGTAGTCTGGGTAAAGAAAATATCTCCTTAATTGACTAAAATGACACAGAAACAGTAAAATTCCAAAATGTTTTTATTCACAATTACACCTGATTCACCATTAGAATTCATATTTCCTAGGTATTGTCTTTTTGGTGCTTTTCCTCGGTAAAAATGTTTCATTTCTCCATGAATCAGTCTTGTTTAGGCTTCATTAAGGCATCTGTGAGGTTAACTCAATTACAAATGAACAGTGAATATGAAGTGACAAAATAAATTGCTGGTCATAAGTGGCTAGGAGCTCATTTTTGCAAGGAAAAGATGAGACTGAGATGAGTATAAGCCAGAAGCAGGCAGGAAGGATGGTTAGCAATACATTCCTGCATATCTACAGCCTATGGTATGCTGATAAATGGAATAAGATAATGAAGGCATGCTCTCTGCACGTGGCAACCCCTTACCACCAAGAAGTTTTCTTCATTTTGAAATTAAGTCCTTGATTGTCACAGCAAATCAAACATCTGTGAAACATCTGCTCAGTCAGTTATTGACCCTGCTGTGAATAAGGTAATAACACTTACCAGAGTAGCGTTCTTCCCCCTAACAGCTTCCCGTGTCCCAGCCAGCACCTCTGCCAGCTGCGCTTCCCAACAGGCTCAGCACCTTCCAGGGCATAAGATGATATAATTAACATCTCATATGTGTCTTGTCTTTCTTTTTTTTCTGATTAGGTTCACGAGGGAGGCGGAATCTCCAATTAGATAACAGTTCAGATGATGCAAATTCTGTTGCTAGTCTCAGGTTCTAGGTCTATGCTTGTTATCTATTTCAAGGCCCACAAAATACCAGTGTGCTTACATGAAGAAAATAGTGAATTAATTTTCAATGTCTATAATGTTTAAGATCGCAAACAAGCAGCACTTAAAAAAAGATACTAATTTTAATATGAGTTTAAATGAGCAATTAAAAAACCTCAAAGAAGAGCTGTCCTTTTGGATTTCTGTTAATCATGTTCTAAACCCCAGAGCTCACAAAACAAATACCACTGGGGGTTGAGTAAAATTCCTGCCCTGATTCCATTCAGAGCAAATGATTTATAGAAGGGAGAAGTCTTACCAAATACACAGAAATGATCTGTAAACAGAATGTGGTATTTCTCCTGCAGAAAAAAAATATTGAATTATGCCCTTCAGAACTTCATCTTACTCAAAGTCATCTGTTACTCAGGCTTCTATATACGTATCTGTCATGTTACTGGTTAGCTGCACCTAAATCTATTACTGGAAAACAGAAAAGTTTATACTGCCTGGACAATGAAGGAAGGACTCAACAGTTGTGTACTTTGCAACAACAAAACCACCACTAGCAATACCCTGCTTCTTTTCACCATTCTGGGAGTTGGAAGTAAAAAATTTGCTATATTGACTGTACAAGAATTGTGTGTATTTAGCCACAGGGGACACAAATCCTACTAAGATTATATGTGCTCTTTATTGGCTTGGGTACTGGTCACCCTTCATATGTTGGCAAGAAGATGGTGAATTTCTAAGGTTACTAGCAGACCACACACCATTTTCTACAAAGATGCTAGTAAAGTTTGCAGGACATGACTACAATTACTATAAATCTGTAGGAAAACCACCAATGAATTCCCAGGATCTAGGTTTTTCACCTTGCTTGGTCATTATCCTGTTAATGCACTGGGTTTTCACTAACTCACCTCTGAAATCAAGACAAAAGTGTTTAAATCCTTTGTAAATGCTCTGACACAAATTGCTGAGGAGCACAGTGCAAAAGTGAACTAAAATATATACAGTTAATTAGCCAAGGTTTAACAACAGAGCAGAGAGAAAAGGGAGGGGTAGGCTCTGCCTAAGCAGTCTCTCAGTATTTGAAGAAAATCACTTTTCTGCTATGCACTCCCATTGTTACACAGGGCAAGTTAAAAGGCTTAACTCTGCTGATGCACTCAAGAAATGAGGACAAAAACATCTAACCTTCCATTACGCTTTTGGCCAAGTCAGACATGTAGGTCATTGGAGTGGCCACAATGTCTCCATTTATAATAGCAGTACTGGATTGCCTACCAAGACAAAACAGTAAATGTTGCAAGAGAGCATGACAGCTCATCCCCAGAAAACTGTCACAGAAGGATTTCGCAGGATTCCTACTTATCCCAGAGCACAGTTAGTTACAGCAGAGTTGTGAAATGGTCTTGCAATCTAGTTGCAAGAACTTGGTAATTTCAGTTCATGACAGATGCACATTTATATGCCACATGAAACAATAGGGATCTATACAAAGACATCACGTAGCTTTATGCTTATTTTCACCGGGCAGACACCAATGTCAAACAGGAGCTTGAAAAACTGGGAACCTAAACTCTGTTAAAAGTCAAGGTTCTAATAATATGTAAATTGGCAGCAGAGCATACCCCAGTAGTGGGGGACAGTTAAAAAGCCTTCTTGCTCTCCAATTGCTTCTTTAATACAGAAACCCACCTTATAAATTCTGTGTACCACCAATGACTTATTCTTATGTTTGATACATGTGAACACATGGATATTGGAGACCATTTCTGCCGTGGATATGTAAATGTCTTTCCAATAGAGCTACACCAGCTGGGCTGAAATAAATGCACAAATAGGGAGACACCATAACAACAAAGGGACGTAAGCAACAGCAAGTACCAGACACCAGCTGGCTAGTCATTCCCACAGGTGTCTTTCCAGATTCATCCACATTTCACCAGCACTGACTGTAGGCTAAATCTTCTAAATACTCACGTGGAAGAACCCCTAATCCATGTTTGTTTCTTTAAACACTATCTAGTCAATACGTATGTGGGAATAAGTAGGGTTATGCTACTATACCCGGGTGTAAAACTGCACACCAATGCTGAAAGGGTCCCTCAAGTGCCCTTGCACAACTTGGAGGATATACAGAATGCTTTGAGATTGGTCAGGAAATAATCTAGAGCAGCTCAGAACTATAGCACAGGTGGATGCACGCAACCAGCATTGCAACAGTGAGGGCATGGTACAACATGCAGGATTCCTCCATCTCTGGCAGGTCCATGCATTACCTGCAGAGCCCTGGGGTTGGCATGGCTGCTTCTTTCCACCTCTGCATCTCTGTTCTTTCACAATGCACAGTAGGATGACAGGACAATGGTTGAAAGCCATAAGCATATAAAGATATTGTCACCCTGGTTTCTTAGGCAATATCACCAGAACCAGTTCTCTGACTTTATACAGGTGTCAATAGGCTGTGAGTACTAATAACATTAGGAATTTATTGGGATTTTGGATCTGATACATATATCTGGTTGATATATAATACACATATCTTATTAGGAATCTGTACCTAACCCCAGTACATTTGTAGCACCTGACAATTTCAGCTCCTTGCAA